TTTCAATAATTCCTCATCTATGCGCTCACCAGTGTTTTGTTGTGCCATTAAATTTTCTATTGATTTTTGCAATTGATAATATTCTTTAAACTCCGCTTTTCTGGATTCTTTTGAGTACACCTGTATGTAATGTTAATACGGACCTTGTGCTTTCCCACCATCCAGATACATTACCATAAAACATCTTCATTTTAATGCACTCCTTGAAGAAACTCCTGAACCCTACCCTAAACTGCCGGGCTCCAAGAATACTGTTATTCAATTTCCAGTACCCTTTCCCAAAACATGTCACCTTCAGGTTTAATACAACAGAGAGCATGTTGTGATCTGAGTAGAAAACAGGTGACACTTGTGCCTCAAACACCTGAAAATCTAACGGACAAAAAATATAATCTATTCTACTCCGTGCCCCTCTACTGTTTCCCCATGTGAAACCAGGGTCATCAGAGTTAAAACTCCTAAAACTATCAACTAAACTGTACTTTTTACCAAACTATGGAAGTTAACTCCCATGTTTTTGCCCTCACTAGGAGAGTTGAAATCACCTCCAACGATTACATGACGATTGGTCATGAAAACGGTGTCTAACTTAAGAAATAGCTCATTTCGTTCTTTTGGTGCAGCATGGGCAATATATTTACCACTCTTAAACTCTTACCCTTCCAGTCAACATCTGTGACCAAAACCCTCCCCTGTATCACAGAAAAACTCCCGACTATTTTAACTTCCACATTCCCACTTAACGTCCCCACCCCAGATGAGTGAACACCCCCAATGCTCCATCTAGAGTCCCCTTTAACCCACTCTTTTGTGAACCCCTTCACATCCTCCACAGTCTTTAGGTGGACCTCTTGCAAGAGGCACAAAGAAAAATCCACTGAACTTAAATGAGAAAAAACTACTGCTCTCTTTGATGCATTTCTCAACCCCCTCACATTTATAGTTAATATATGAAATAAAGACAGACTATGCAAAAAAAAAGAAAAATGGAGGAAGTGACAGAAAAAAAGGAGCCCAAAACAGTATGCTCACTCACGTTGCTCTTTCCACCAATCATGGCAGAAAGTCCTCCTCATCTGGCTCCTTCAGTGGGAAAGAGCACTCTGAACTGGAAGGGCTATCTTCTGAGAGTACGGGGCAGCTTCTCGGGGCAGGAGGAGCATCCGAGGAGAATACAGCTATGCAGGGAGGCTCTCCTGGGACACCGCTAGCTGGAACCTTACTACTGGACGATGCAGTCATGCCTTTCTGGGTTAACGCCTCCCCAGCTTCCTCACTCTCCAGGCAATCGTCCACAGCTGCCGCAGCGCTGCCCCCTCCTTTGCCGCATTGTCAGTGATCTCATGCACCTGTCCAGTCTCCTTTCCCTCCTGCATTTCTTCCCAAACCTCAGAAACAAGTACCCCAAACCTGTTCGCCTCAACGAGCAGAGGAGAGGATGGTGGTGAAGCAACAAGCTCGTCTTTGCCCTCTTTCTCTTACTTTTTCCTCCTTTCTTCCCCGCGACCCACTCAATAACAGAAGAAGCCTCCTCCAAACTCTCAGCTTCCCCCCCTGCTTCCCCCAGGCGTCCTCGCTCTCTGCCTGGACTGACACCACCTCCGGTGCATCTGCCCCCTTTGTCTCCACCACTCCTCCCGTGAGCTCGGCAATTACGTCCTCAATTGCTCTTAAGGATGTGGAGCGTGGGTCGTCACATGCGGGTCCATCCCTGTGTTGCGCACCTGGGGCCACCGACTCCCGTCTGGCAGCACGTGCATACGAAGACCCCACTTCTGGGCAATGCCCAAATAAATGTCCTTCCAGCCCACATAAACTACATTTTTTTGGCTGATCACAATTTCTCATGGTGTGTCCCAAACTATCACAGTTTCTGCACCGCACCTGTCTGCAAGACCTTGCCAGGTGTCCATATGAAGCACATTGCCTGCAGTACAGCGGCTGACCCCCATAGACTAGGAAACCTCTATGGGAGCCAATGGTGAAGGTAGCGGGGGGATGGCAAAACCATCATAACCATTCGGGTCTTCCTTCAGCATGACCCGGAATTGCCGTTTTCCGGTCCATATCCCCAGCACATCCTTAATGTCTCCCATACTTGTTAACACAGTCACGTACCTGGCAAGAAAATACCTGGTTGCTTCCTCTGACACCCAAGGGTTGTAAATGTGCACAGTCACAATGCGCTCACCAGTACGACACAGGCTGAGCACCCTGAAGTTTTTCAGCAATCCGTCTGCCAATCGAAGTGCTAATCCTTTCACCTCCTCCATCTTGGTAACGGTGTAAAACGTGACGTCGTAATACTTGTCCGTGGCGTTTTTCTGCAGACACAGAAGGTCGTCAATCTTGAGGCACAGAGCTCCAAACAGAATGGCTTGTCCAAAAATCTTTCTCTCCATTAACTCGTCGGTACTGTTCCACACAAACCTAAGCGTATTTTTCAGCACGGCATGCACCTGCTGTGAGTTAGCTGACGATGTCATTGTAGACTGTCAACAGATCCTCCTCTTACTCAATCTTAGCCAAAAGGCCGAGAAGCGATAACCCCCGCTGGTTGCTTCCAGCGCCCACCTCCCGGAGCAGTTCTCCCCCTGCCGTGGCGCAGTGGTTTCAACTGCGCATAACAACGGCTGAGTCTCAGCACCTCCTCCCGAGCGCGCCTCGTCGCACCGCTCAACCTTGCCGGGGCGGCGTTTTATTTCCTTTTCACAAACGCACGAGGCTCGGCCACACGGCAGAGCCTGCCAAAAATAGTTTTAACTCATTGGCGTCCCTCTCCACGGAAGTCTTTAGTAAAAGGCGAAAGACTTGTACGTTATGAAGAGAAAGTAAGTGCGGGCCCCTCCTCCAGAGCCGCCGACGAGCCTAGTCGTCCCGGCCACTACCCTCACGGTAAGCCTCACTCTGCCTCTCGAGTCCCAAGTACCAGGCCACGCCCGTTCCCCTACCCCTCCCCAGGTCATGGCAGGCTCTATCCAATCGGGCTGCGGAGAGACGAAGGCCTGGCTTTTGGACAGAGGCTACCGAACGACTCGGGCTCTTGTAGCCTCTCGATGACGAGTGAGAGAAAGGGAGGGGAAATGTGGCCGATCGCTTCTCGGCCTTTTGGCCAAGACTGCAATGGCCTCCTCTTTCTGGTTAAAACCTTTGCCGGTTTGGGGCTTCGTTTTGTGTCACCAGCTTTTCTGGGAGGAGATTCACCTCATTCCTTGTGAATAAAATTTCAACTTTGCCGTAGCTGAAAAACTTTTGCAACAAGGAATTCATTGGTCCCGAGGACTGCCTACCTGTCCTCTGCCGGACTGCCACCTTGACCAGACCAAAGACGAGAAGGTAAGTGTGTTTTATTCACCGATTTAGCAGTTGTAGCAGGTTTTCTTGCTTCATTTGAGGTGTTTTAGTTTCTTGTATCCTTTCTACGCTGCGGTTCCTCCACCGTGTTGGCCAACCGTGCCGGGCCTACGGAGGCGCCGCAGTGTCCCCTCCCCACCTTCTGAGAGGCTCTATCCAATCGGAGAAATGAAGGCCTGGCTTTTGGACACAGGCTACCGAGCATCCGAAATACTCGGGCTCTCGATGACGAGTGGGAGAAAGGGAGGGGAAGTGCAGGGCACATTTAACAGCCATGCCGGTCCCAAATATCCCCTCGTCGTCTGCCAATCATAAAGTGCAAATCTCGCTGCCTTCTTCGAGGCTTCAGCTGGCCGCCCCCCCTCGACTGGCGCCTTTTTCGGGCCGGCGTCCGGCAGAGCGACGAACCTCTGCGTTTGGGTCAGTATTTTGGTTTTACACAAGGCAGGAGAAGGGTGCACCGCCCCCGGAGGCACTGCAATACCGGGTCGATGCGTGGAGTGGACGGAGCAAGCCCCTCGTCTCAGCTCCCGGTGCTAAAAATCCATTTAATATGTTGCCCCCTTATAGGGGACATATCAGATATTAAACTGATAAGAACAGATACTACACTTGATCTTAGCCAAAAGGCCGAGAAGCGATAACCCCCGCTGGTTGCTTCCAGCGCCCACCTCCCGGAGCAGTTCTCCCCCTGCCGTGGCGCAGTGGTTTCAACTGCGCATAACAACGGCTGAGTCTCAGCACCTCCTCCCGAGCGCGCCTCGTCGCACCGCTCAACCTTGCCGGGGGCGGCGTTTTATTTCCTTTTCACAAACGCACGAGGCTCGGCCACACGGCAGAGCCTGCCAAAAATAGTTTTAACTCATTGGCGTCCCTCTCCACGGAAGTCTTTAGTAAAAGGCGAAAGACTTGTACGTTATGAAGAGAAACCCGAGTAAGTACGGGCCCCTCCTCCAGAGCCGCCGACGAGCCTAGTCGTCCCGGCCACTACCCTCACGGTAAGCCTCACTCTGCCTCTCGAGTCCCAAGTACCAGGCCACGCCCGTTCCCCTACCCCTCCCCAGGTCATGGCAGGCTCTATCCAATCGGGCTGCGGAGAGACGAAGGCCTGGCTTTTGGACAGAGGCTACCGAACGACTCGGGCTCTTGTAGCCTCTCGATGACGAGTGAGAGAAAGGGAGGGGAAATGTGGCCGATCGCTTCTCGGCCTTTTGGCCAAGACTGCAATGGCCTCCTCTTTCTGGTTAAAACCTTTGCCGGTTTGGGGCTTCGTTTTGTGTCACCAGCTTTTCTGGGAGGAGATTCACCTCATTCCTTGTGAATAAAATTTCAACTTTGCCGTAGCTGAAAAACTTTTGCAACAAGGAATTCATTGGTCCCGAGGACTGCCTACCTGTCCTCTGCCGGACTGCCACCTTGACCAGACCAAAGACGAGAAGGTAAGTGTGTTTTATTCACCGATTTAGCAGTTGTAGCAGGTTTTCTTGCTTCATTTGAGGTGTTTTAGTTTCTTGTATCCTTTCTACGCTGCGGTTCCTCCACCGTGTTGGCCAACCGTGCCGGGCCTACGGAGGCGCCGCAGTGTCCCCTCCCCACCTTCTGAGAGGCTCTATCCAATCGGAGAAATGAAGGCCTGGCTTTTGGACACAGGCTACCGAGCATCCGAAATACTCGGGCTCTCGATGACGAGTGGGAGAAAGGAGAGGGAAGTGCTCGTCTCAGCTCCGGTGCTAAAAATCCATTTAATATGTTGCCCCCTTATAGGGGACATATCAGATATTAAACTGATAAGAACAGATTTTTTTTTTTTTTTTTTTTGGAAAATATAATTTATTTGTGCATAAACATTCAATACACACATTTCAGTACTTACATCCCACCTATATTAATCCCACATCCAACACAAAACAACAATCCTCCCCCTCGGCATCTCTATACACAGTGTCCCTTTGTTACCTTAATAGTAAAAAAAAAAAAAAAAAAAAAAAAAACGACATCAACAAAACACAAGGTATACATCAATAACTCATGGAACCCAGTTCTCGAGCCCTCTCTTTTTTCTTTTTTTCCATTACGATGCATGGCATGTATGCATGAAGAGACCATAACAAAACCACTCCCATAACCATCATAATAAATCCACAACACCTTCTGTTGACCTCTATGAATTACCATAAATCATTTTCCATCTGTCTTTGATCGAGTCAATACCCCATTTTCTGATCTCTAATTGGTATCGCCTCTCTATTGAGTCTTCAATGCTCTTTATAGTTCCCAACACTGACCACTTGCTTCCTCCATTTAGCCCATCACATCTTACCTCCCACAACTTGTACTTTACTATAGATACGAGAAGCACTACTTTATGCAGTTTCTCCCTCTCCATATTAAATTCCATGTAAAGAACCCCTTCCCATGTCATATCCCTCAAAGACACAAACTTTTACCCAACCCCTCCCAAATTTGTTGTGCGAAAAAACACTCAAATAATGCATGTTCCACCGTTTCTTTTCCCAAACATCCCTCTCTTGGACAGTACTTACTTCTTGTTAGGCCGTGATTAAACAAGGTGTTTCTTACTGCTAATCTCCTGTGAAGCACCAACCAATTAAAATCTTTCAACTGATTGTCCAACTGCTTAAACTGTGTTCTCTTCCATACTTCAGAAGGAATATGAACAGTTTCTCTTGGGTTGAACCTGGCCATCAATTCCTCATACAGTTTTCTATGATTGAGTACTAAATGACTATCCCAACACTCCTTGTACTTCTTTGCCCAACTGATTATTCCTTTATAGTACAAAGGCATAACCTCAGCTTTGGGAGACCTGTTATCCCATGCTACCCCTAAGGGCCTCAAATGCATAGCAAGCCAAAATTTCATTAAAGAGTGACATTTATGTTTTGGAGGTGACATAGTTATTTTACAGATATTTGAAAAAAAAATCACGTTCAACTTCAACCTGACATTTGGCATGTCTTTACCTCCTCTCTCAATGGGCTGGTACATTATTTCTCTTTTAATATATTCATACCCTCCCCACATGAAATTAAACAACATCCTTTGCAACTTTAAGCAAATCATTGCCGTCATGGGAAAAACACATGCCACATGAAGTAAGGCTGGCAATATATCGGCTTTTATAGCTAGGACTTTGCCACTGAATGACAGTTTTCTCAATTTCCACATGTTGAGCTTTGATAGCACTTTAGCTAATCTTACCTCCCAATTACTTTCAACATCATCCTTATTACCAAAGGATATACCCAATAATGTCATCGGCCCCGCGCACAGGGCAAGCCCATATGGCTTGTCATTCCTATCCTTCCACCTTCCCAGATATTTAATCAGTGACTTCCCTTTATTAATCCTAGACCCTGAAGCACTCGAGAACACTTCAATAACATTAATAGCTTCCTTTAAACAAAAGTCATTTTCTAAATACAATACAGTGTCGTCTGCAAACTGAGATATAACCAATGTTTCCCCACCTGGCAACGGTAGACCCCTGATTTTAGCATTTTTTCTAATTGCACATGCCAAAATTTCAATAAACACAACATACAAAGGGGCTGATGCAGGGCACCCCTGCCTGACGCCCCTGGTTTGCTTAAACAAAACTCCCATGTTGCCATTGACATTAACTCTACTTCCTACCTCTGTGTATAAAATCTTCAGCCAACTTCTAAATCTTTTACCAAACCCAAATCTTTCCAAAATCCTAAATAAAAATTTGTGATTGACCCTATCAAAAGCTTTTTCCTGATCAAGACTGAGCACAATAAGGGGAAAATTTCTATCCTCGGAATAGGCTAGTACATCTCTGTGCATTTGCAGATTCCATTGTATCTGTCTGCCTTGTACTGCACAAGTTTGATCCAGTCCTATAATGAACTCCAAGGCGGATACCAACCTGTTTGTTAGAATTTTACTAAAAATCTTATAATCTGTGCACAACATCGTTAAGGGTCTGTAGTTGGATATATCTCGAACGTCCCCTTTTTTATATAGCAGGGAAATCACCCCCTCTCTCATTGTGCTCCCCATTATCCCAGATGTGCAAATGAAAGTAAACAAATCTAACAACTGAGGCCCAATATCTTCCCAGAAAACCAAGTAAAATTCTTTTGTAAGTCCATCCACTCCTGGCACCTTCCCTTTCTTTAAAGACTGAAGCGCCTTCAAAATTTCTTCCAATTGTATGTCTTTATCCAACTCTAGTTTCAGATAGTCGGGGATTGAGCTATCTACATTATTCAACAGCAGTGAACCCTTACTATAATCTACTATTTCTGCGCTAAAAAACTTGGAATAATTACCCGAAGCAATTTCTACCAGCCCTTCCGGATCGTCAATTTCCTCCCCTCGTTCATTTAGAAGGGAGGCTATTCTCCTTCTCTTTGCCCGTACTTTAGACTGCTTGAAAAAATAGGATGAACATTTCTCATCCTTTTCCCATTTTTCATCAAGACTCCTGAATTTATAAGCCTCAGCCCTCTTATGAAAAAATAGCCTCTGCTCGTTTTGCCAGCGTTTCAATAATTCCTCATCTATGCGCTCACCAGTGTTTTGTTGTGCCATTAAATTTTCTATTGATTTTTGCAATTGATAATATTCTTTAAACTCCGCTTTTCTGGATTCTTTTGAGTACACCTGTATGTAATGTTTAATACGGACCTTTGTGCTTTCCCACCATCCAGATACATTACCATAAAACATCTTCATTTAATGCACTCCTTGAAGAAACTCCTGAACCCTACCCTAAACTGCCGGGCTCCAAGAATACTGTTATTCAATTTCCAGTACCCTTTCCCAAAACATGTCACCTTCAGGTTTAATACAACAGAGAGCATGTTGTGATCTGAGTAGAAAACAGGTGACACTTGTGCCTCAAACACCTGAAAATCTAACGGACAAAAAATATAATCTATTCTACTCCGTGCCCCTCTACTGTTTCCCCATGTGAAACCAGGGTCATCAGAGTTAAAACTCCTAAAACTATCAACTAAACTGTACTTTTTACCAAACTATGGAAGTTAACTCCCATGTTTTTGCCCTCACTAGGAGAGTTGAAATCACCTCCAACGATTACATGACGATTGGTCATGAAAACGGTGTCTAACTTAAGAAATAGCTCATTTCGTTCTTTTGGTGCAGCATGGGCATATATTTACCACTCTTAAACTCTTACCCTTCCAGTCAACATCTGTGACCAAAACCCTCCCCTGTATCACAGAAAAACTCCCGACTATTTTAACTTCCACATTCCCACTTAACGTCCCCACCCCAGATGAGTGAACACCCCCAATGCTCCATCTAGAGTCCCCTTTAACCCACTCTTTTGTGAACCCCTTCACATCCTCCACAGTCTTTAGGTGGACCTCTTGCAAGAGGCACAAAGAAAAATCCACTGAACTTAAATGAGAAAAAACTACTGCTCTCTTTGACGCATTTCTCAACCCCCTCACATTTATAGTTAATATATGAAATAAAGACAGACTATGCAAAAAAAAAGAAAAATGGAGGAAGTGACAGAAAAAAAAGGAGCCCAAAACAGTATGCTCACTCACGTTGCTCTTTCCACCAATCATGGCAGAAAGTCCTCCTCATCTGGCTCCTTCAGTGGGAAAGAGCACTCTGAACTGGAAGGGCTATCTTCTGAGAGTACGGGGCAGCTTCTCGGGGCAGGAGGAGCATCCGAGGAGAATACAGCTATGCAGGGAGGCTCTCCTGGGACACCGCTGGCTGGAACCTTACTACTGGACGATGCAGTCATGCCTTTCTGGGTTAACGCCTCCCCAGCTTCCTCACTCTCCAGGCAATCGTCCACAGCTGCCGCAGCGCTGCCCCCTCCTTTGCCGCATTGTCAGTGATCTCATGCACCTGTCCAGTCTCCTTTCCCTCCTGCATTTCTTCCCAAACCTCAGAAACAAGTACCCCAAACCTGTTCGCCTCAACGAGCAGAGGAGAGGATGGTGGTGAAGCAACAAGCTCGTCTTTGCCCTCTTTCTCTTACTTTTTCCTCCTTTCTTCCCCGCGACCCACTCAATAACAGAAGAAGCCTCCTCCAAACTCTCAGCTTCCCCCCCCTGCTTCCCCCAGGCGTCCTCGCTCTCTGCCTGGACTGACACCACCTCCGGTGCATCTGCCCCTTTGTCTCCACCACCTCCCGTGAGCTCGGCAATTACGTCCTCAATTGCTCTTAAGGATGTGGAGCGTGGGTCGTCACATGCGGGTCCATCCCTGTGTTGCGCACCTGGGGCCACGACTCCCGTCTGGCAGCACGTGCATACGAAGACCCCACTTCTGGGCAATGCCCAAATAAATGTCCTTCCAGCCCACATAAACTACATTTTTTTGGCTGATCACAATTTCTCATGGTGTGTCCCAAACTATCACAGTTTCTGCACCGCACCTGTCTGCAAGACCTTGCCAGGTGTCCATATGAAGCACATTGCCTGCAGTACAGCGGCTGACCCCCATAGACTAGGAAACCTCTATGGGAGCCAATGGTGAAGGTAGCGGGGGGATGGCAAAACCATCATAACCATTCGGGTCTTCCTTCAGCATGACCGGAATTGCCGTTTTCCGGTCCATCCCCAGCACATCCTTAATGTCTCCCATACTTGTTAACACAGTCACGTACCTGGCAAGAAAATACCTGGTTGCTCCTCTGACACCCAAGGGTTGTAAATGTGCACAGTCACAATGCGCTCACCAGTACGACACAGGCTGAGCACCCTGAAGTTTTTCAGCAATCCGTCTGCCAATCGAAGGCTAATCCTTTCACCTCCTCCATCTTGGTAACGGTGAAAACGTGACGTCGTAA